TCATCAGTTTCATTTCAGAATGCTGTTACATCTGTCAAATGTTTCAGTTTGAAATGAACGCCTGATTTTTTTCGCCTTTGTATGCTACAAGAGCACCAGGTTGTCAATCAGCAGAAATACAAAATGAGACAAGATAGGTGATCCGCTTCTATGATTGGCAATTTTTTTTATTTTTTATTTTACAACCCCTTTTTTCTTCCTCTAACTGCAATGACTTAAAAATGGCAATGCTTGTCTGTACTGTGGAAAAAGATGAGAAACATGGATACAGCAAAGGGAAGCCACCCTTGGTTCACCCCAGTCCTGTTTGTCTTGACTTCTGATAGCCATCGTTTTGAGAGTACTGGTACAGTCCCAGTGGACAATGAAACCATAGGTTTCAAACTATTGCTCTGAATTGTCTAAATGTCCATCTCATTAACAAATATTGCGTGAATGTGATTTAAATGCATTTACTTCGGTTTTTCTTCATTTTTGCTATAGAGTTAATACATTGCAATGGACCTTATGAAGTTCATAATATTTCACTGGCAGCACAGGATCACTTCTGGGTGGACTGTGTAGGCTTTCAAAGTGCCTCCAGGCAGAGGGGTGGTCCAGAACCTTCAGCAAGTAATTTGAATCTCATAACAGTTTTGGTTTTTTAATTTGCTTCCCTTGATTAGCAATCAGAACTTTTGCCTCTAAATGTGATTTTTCACACTCTGGACTAAGAAATTGGCAAAATGTCAGGTACTTTTCAAGAGAGTTTAAAAATTTTATACACTTTGTGGTTCTGTGATGTATCTATTGGTAGCATCCCTGCTGAACATCTCTGTATTTCAGTATTACTCAGCTTTGTACAAATCTAGGCTTCAGTCTTCTTCTGTGCTTTAGCAGTTGATTAAGAAATATTCTGATCTCTCACAGAGTACCAAGAAACTAATGGCTTGTGGAGTATTTTAGTCTTCAAGCTTCCATTATAAATGATACAAAAAATAGTGTAATTTGACTGATGCTTAAACACGTCTCTTTCTTTTATGAGATATTGCCAATGTCCTTTCTTGTTTCTCTTTTTAATCTCCTCTTTCATTCTCTGAGTACACTTATTTTGGTAAAGAATATGTATGAACATATTCGAAATCTGAGCTTATGCTATCACAGTAGAGGAGTGGCATATTTTGCATACAACCTGTTGTAGCACGTCCAACTCATAACCACATGTTGCTATAGGTAAGGATGTTTAATGAACCGACTGGCTTCATTAAGATTCAAAGATTTAAACCATTTGGATAGAAGGGGAAGTAAAACACTTTCTAAACTAGATAGATAGTTGCTTTGACTTTTTCCAGTGTACTTAAAAGAATCTAATTAGAATGAATTGTAGTTATTAATACAAGTCTGAGAAGAAAATCCAGACCTGCGATACGTAACACATATTGTCCCTCTGTAGCTTGGTGGCATACTAAATTTGGATTGCAAAAATCGCCAGAGGAGAAACCAGGGCCTAACTTCATAACCATGGATTTGCAGAGATGCTGGCTGGCACAGCTCCTTCTGGTTGTAATTGGGAGTGGGGGAGTAAATGTATCTGTCCCGAAGCTGCATGTCAAAATCTGAAGTATGTTTAATTTAGTGGGCTTGTGAGTACTAAAAGCTGGAATAGGATGAACAAAGACGGCTGGTTTTCTAGTGGTATGCACCTGCATTTTAACACTGACCAAATCTGATTCACTTGTAATTGATATTATATAGGCATACTAGATGTGTGTTGCAGAGGAGTGAAATTAATTTCATATGGTATAAGGACTTGTATGAATCATTTTCCTTCAGAGCAGCTAACATCTGTATTATAGACATACACAACCAAAATCCTCTGTATCTGTCTTCACCTACAATTGCTGGAGTACTGTGCACTACTGTAGTACCAACTAGCCTGCTGGATTTCACCAGTTATTTTTGTAGCCATCCAGTGTCTGTCAGAGTTAAAACAAGAAGACAAAATAATTCTTTAATATATGTTTCACTTGCTTTCTTTTTTTTCATAAGATTGTTCATACTTTTCTCACAGGTGGCATAATGCATTCACAATTTGTAATAGGTGTAGTATCTCACTGAGACTTATGATACAAAATTGATTTTGAAAACAACAGCAAAAAATGTAAATCGGAGAACACTGGAGATTGCGACTCAGTAACTGGATCGTGCTTCTTGAATTCAGCAATTTGAAAGGGAAATTGGGAAGAGAGATGGAAACATTTATGTACCTTTACATTTCAAAATGGTTAAAAGCCCGGTGTGGATGTCTGGGCTTGTAGGAAAACTTAGTCTGTTAATAAGAAAGCTGGCAGTGCTGCTGTGATATACAGAATGTCAGTGATCCTTGAGTCTGCTTGTTTAAAGCAGCATGCTGAGCACTTTTCAGTAGAGTGGTTTCATGCAATGCCTACTAAGATGCTTTGTAGATGGTGCAGATCAACTCCAGACAAAGTACTTCTTGTTGCCATTTATGATTTTTATCTGTCATAAATATGTCACAGAAGTAATTCCCAATTCAGAACTTTCATTCTCTGGAACAGTGGTGACCACATTAAAAAACATTCTGCATTCACTATCTCACACTTGGTATTTTTTAACATTTTCATGTCCTAGCGCTAAATCGAAGCCTAGCTTGTGTTCAGTATTCTGGAAGTTCATTTTGGGAAGCCTCTGGCTACTGAAGAGTGTTATATCTTACTTCCTGCTGTCCTTAGTAAAGATAGCTGGGGGTCAGGAGAGCCCTCTGCACTATGTGCTGCTGCTGCTTGCCACTGCTCATGACATTTGGAGTCTGATAGGGATGCTGTGATAGCACCTTCAATTAAAAGCCATAGGCAACAAGTGTAACAAAGAGAAGCCTTAAGACTGCTTAACATCATGCCATTGCCTCAACTAGAATAAAACCAGCATGAGAATAAATTGGCTGTGCTAGCTTAATTGTGGTCTTCACCTAAGCCCTGCCCAGGAGACCTTAGACCTAGCAGAAAACCCTAGCTGAAATATCGAGGGGCTTTTTTTGACATTGCTTAAATTTATTATATTTCCATTAGAAAACACTAACACAATTCTTTATTCCAGTTTTAAAGCCATGAGCTTTTGCTGCCTGTTTTGGGTTTTCATTACTTTTACGTGGATACAGTTACACAGATAATGAGAAACCCGTAAAACCTGCATATCACTGCATGTAACATTGCTCTGCAACTATTTACCACCTCATTAGTTTTTTCAATACCGAGGATAAGTTAGCATTCTGTCATGAAATTTGAACTGCCACCACATAGAGCTGAAGCCTATAAGCCACGGCATAATAACTTCCACAAAGTGCATTAACTCTTGCACCAGAAGATGCAATCTTGTGAACACAGAAAATTCATATGACTTTTTATATCTGTGAAGTCAATTTGTTTGACTTTTTCTCATATAAATTTTGCTGCTCTTAGAAATCTTTTAAAATACAAAGGGAGAAATTTAGTTTTTGTGTTATTCTGCAGAACTCAATTGACTGAGATAGACTTGATCTCATTTACATTTGGACTATGCTGTACACTCATTGCTCTTTAAACATGATATGCCTTTTTCTCATTTTTGTTAAGGTTTTATCTCTACTACTGGAGAAAAAAAAGCTGTGTTTTACATCAAGATTGCTATTGTGAGGTATCTGTCTAAATGTAAAATCCTTGTGGAGACAAGAAGTAGGTATTTCATACCTTGATGTAGCTGGTTGAGGTCAGCCCCGAACAATACACCTGGGGTTGATCTCAACTGGCTATGTACAGGTGAAACTACAATACCTGATCATTAGCAGGATTTTATACTGCATTACCTACTTCAGTGTAAAATCATGTTACACTGTCTTGCAATGTAAAGGTGCCTTTGAGGATATGAATTACATGTGTGCTTTTTCTAGGTCCTTTTGCCCTTCTGCAGCGATGCAAAGTGAATCTCTGCCCCACTGTCTGGCAAAACCGTACAATTTGATCATGTGACTGAAGTAAAGTCCTTGTTGGACTTCCACATTTATCCCTGATTATATTAGCAGCAGTGCCCCTAGAAGTTTGTGCCAGGCTTGCATTATCATCTGGTATAATTCCAATGCATTTCCACACCTTCTTCACTCTTGGTGCTACCGTTTTGCAAATGATGCACGATTGCATCAATGATTGCAGCTGCATACGATGGCTATAACTCAGTCATCCCCCCAAAGCAAGTAATGTGAAGCATCAAAACCAAACATTAATTTAACACAGGCCATTAAGTCGTGACGGTGATGTGCCTGTATTCAATTTTTACTTCAGTAAAACACAGTATTTTATAGGAAGCATGATCAGAATAAAACATTTCATCCATGGTCTGCTCCATCTTGACAATAAATGAGTAGCATAGGAGCAAATGTCAGTCCTTTGCAAGTGAGGTGAGCAGTCCTTAGCACGAGTTGCCTTCTCCAATATTTTTGATCTGTAGTTTAAGTCTGCCTGCTCCTAAGAATGCACTTCTCAGCGTATGTCTCCCACCACCATTAAAGTGTTTCCTGAAATAGTCCATAGGTTTGAATTGCTGTCAACCAAAGGGTTACCATTTCTTTAAAACCACCTTTAAGATTTGCTCTTTGTTTTTGGTAAGCAATCTGGATAATCAGTTGTTTTATGTTCCTTTGATGTTGTCTCATCACTTCATTTATTATCTAAACTCAATTACTTTATTCTTTTACTTTACATTTCTGAACTTTCTAGGTAATTTGCTCACCTCATATCCTGTAGAGATGCTCCACCCATCTAAGGATCCTTTCCTTCTCAAGATCCCTTTCTTTCCTTCTTCTTTCCGCCCCCAGAAACCTACCTACAAGACCATGTATTTGGTTCACAGTCAGTAGTTACTCTGTGGGAGACATTTCCCATACATATGTGATACCTGCTGGCTGCTGCTTCCAATTATGCCATATGCTGGAAAGCCGAGCTGTTGAAGTATTGTAGTCAATGTTATAATCAAACTAGTTAAGAAGGTAGCAGTATGTCTCATAAAGGGTTCTGGACATTGTCTGATTTCTGCCATAAGCAAAATACTGACAAGTCCTGCTTTGTTTTGCTGCTTTTTCAGGTGGCAAAAAGCTAGACATACATTCATTATATTGTAAAATCACAACCTTCGAGATCTTGCTGAATCTGCCCTACAGCTATTTATCACATGATTGCAGGGAATGAAAATAACATTTTTCCTTCTACTAGGAATATGTTGCTAACCTTGAGGCAAGATAGTGCATAATTTTATGTGTGCCTAGTCTTGCTGTTATATATAGACTATTTTGAGATGAATCAGTGTTATCATTTCCCAGAATTTAGCACCAGTGTTTTAGCAGAGCCAAGGAGATTTCATATACTTAGGCTCTTGGCTGCGACAGTGACCAGGGATCCCAAGTCTGAGTCACATTTACATTAATGCCATTTTATAGCGATGGAAAAAGGCCAAGAAAATGCTAATATCATTTACTCCCAAGTTAAGGGATTTTTTTGTTGAGGTTAGAGCTGCATGTAGTAATGTCTGTGTAAAAGCTATCTGAGCCCAATTCTGATTTCACATCCATTAATTTTATATTTGTGAAATTACAGCTATTTCACTGATGTTTTTGCTTGTAATCAAGAGTTTGATCTGTCTCCTCATGTCTGTGCAATAATCCCTCTTTCTTCCTCCCACAACCAACAGTCTGCAGGAGACTCAGAAATCTCTAAGACTCTTTTATTCTTTCCCGTGGCACCCATCATTCTCTTGTGGCTTCTTGAGTAATCTCTGGTTTTTAATATGAAGCATTAATTCACTTTAAATATAGCAAGAATTAGGAAAACTGGGGCTCAGTCCCTCTCCACAATTACAAGTTTAACCATCGAGTTGCCTGTCAGATGCTTTTAGAAGCGTAGCTCTACTATAGCTGTGTACCTAATATGTAGCTCTGACTTCTTGGTTTAGTTTGATCGTAGGGTGACCTGCAGTGAGCAGTTTTAAGCCCATTGAAACAGTTTTTGATACTACATGGACACTTTCTGTCATGGCCCACTTTTGAGCTACTTATGTGTTTAGACAGCATTTTTTAGGTATTGTCTAAAGTTAAATATTTCCAGAATGCAGTTTCAATGTAAAATTTTTCAATGTAAATTGAGTTTCAGTTTTTAATATTTGTGATACTTTAACATTTTAAGAACAGCAGGAAAGCATTAAATTTATAGGAAAAAAAATTGAGGGTGACAGACTACATCCATTTAATAGGAACTTGTACAGTAATGAGATAGATGTCATTATTTTCTAAGCACAAGGGACAAAGAATCACATTTTTAGTCCATGCATCTGTGGTATTTTAAGGTAGTTTAACACAACTGTGAGATGCATTATACTCAATCCCAGCCTACTGGAGCTTCAGATTATGCTGTTGCAACTTGCTGTGTGAATTTTCTTTAGGGGATCTCTAGCTGATTAAAGCTTAATAAAAAAAAAAAAAAAAACACAACAAAAAACATCAGAAAGGAAGAAGTTTGCTTTTACTCTTTTCTGGATTGGGTTATCTGTCCCAAAATATAGGTATGAAAGCAGCAGTCCACTTTTGCAGACTTAGTTGAGGCCAAAATATTGTGATAAATTCCGCAGAACATACTCGGGCACAATGCCCATTTGTTTTATTGAGAATTTTGCCTGATAAAGACCTATTTCCCCTTATCTCTGAGTTTCTTGGACAAACTGTGTTGACTCTGATCCAGTAAAGTAGAGCAAGCTTCTTAATCTGGCACATTAAATAAAAGCTCAGCTGGGAAAGGAATGCAGTATTTTGTCTTTGCATTTCAATTGAGTTGAAACTTCTTATTTTAAGCTTAGGCTGTGAGAATCATCTCCAAGCAATGTAACATCATTTGCAAAGTCAGGTGATAGGTGCGTGGACTGGATGCAAGTGGATGATGGGACACATCTTTACGATCAATAGAAACGAAAATAAATAAATGCAAAGTTCAAGCTTCCTTATTCAGTTTTTTCAAGCAACTCGGTTCTGACTTGCAGCACCCCTGCTGTTTCAAGTCGTGGACGTTTCTTTTAACACAGGCAGCGTATTATGCTAATCTGCATGCTGGGCAAAAGCCCAGTTGAGAGTAACTGAAAGTCTAAAAGAAGTTTCACTTTTGACCACATCCCTGATTTGAACCGAGATTGCTAATGTAGAAAGGCTTGCTACCTCTAGAGGTGTGGAGAGGGTCTTGCACCTCTTCCTTAAAACTCTGGTTTCCTTTTTTCCTCTCATTTTGTTTCCTTTTCTCTGGGGAAATTACTCCTATTTTTTTCCAGTGTAATAACCAAAAGAGTTGCACTTTGTATTTCTAAAACAAACCAGCAATTTTTTTCCACATGTACTGAGACTTCAATCTCTGCCAAAAATCTGAAAAGAAATCACCAACTGTTCTGTAACTCTTTAAGCAATTACCATTGAATACACACACTATGGTTCAAAATGCAATAAATACATAAAACTTCAGCAAGGAAAATCTAGCACAGATCATAAACAAGTAACTGATGCAAGTACTAACATATTTTTTGATGTTAATAAATATAAATTATGAAATATAAGTACATTGTCAGTGATCCCATGAATGATTTAGTGTATTGTCTTACCACATGGTGAATGAGGTGAGGCTGCATGTACACTAGGTGCTTGTAACCTAATTTATCTCCCAGGAATACTGAAAATACTCAGTTTAATATACAGATGTATTTGTTAAGAAGCTTACCAAAACAATATGGTGGGCTTAGACTAAGATCATACCAGAAGGTCCATCCTTCAGTTCTCTGAATCATAAGAAGAAACAGATTGTGTCAAATGGAAAGTGAGAAATGAAGTAATCTAACCAATCTGCACTTTGGCAGAGTTGTTGTAGGCTGGCTGAGGTTTCTTGCCTATTCCCAGTTAATGTAGGTATTTGACACGATGCTGAAGAGCTGACCATTTTAATTGTGAATATGGTTTCCTGGAAAGCAAAGTCTTGATAGTCTCAGGGGTGTTTTTATCAGTGACCTAGTCACACAGTGCTCCTCAGGGTCAACCATCAGGGTGAACCTACTTGAACTCTTGTTTGGGAACTGCAGTATTTAAGAGAGCCCAGAAAAAAATAGATACTTGCTTCCTTCACAGTTTTTATTGCTTTTTCTGAAGCCTTCTGTCCATGATTCCTGTTGTTCTTTGAATTCCGTGCAGGTTTTTTTATGGGGCTTGGGAACTGTCACTTTTTAGACATCTACTGATGAAAGTTTTGTGACTCCTGCTCTTTTTTGCTGAGGCTGCATACTTAGTTTTTCCATCTCTTTAAGGTGCTTTGGCTTCTCATCCTATTGCCTAACCAAAGGTAATAAGAGTATTCTTACCACTTCCTCTCTCTTGCTCAGACAGCAGACTTAATGTTTTTCACCTTTATTTCACAGGAGAATGAGCAAGTATTCCCATAAAGTATCCATTATTTGTTAGGAAGTGAATCATACGTCTGTTGCATGTTACTGGCTTGTGCTGTTGTAGGAGCAGTTAGTATTAACTATGTAGGCTTAATTAGCATATTTGGAATCTTAAACTATAAAGCTTTCCTATTTCCTAAAACAATCCTTTTAATTCTGTATAAATAAGAGCTATTTCAAACAAAACAGGCAAAATATGAAAATATAAAAAAAAAATATCCCATATATATATACATATGGGATATAATGTTGCATCACTCCTAAAGACAGTAATTTTTAAAATTTGTTTATATAATTTAGATAAATTTTGAAGTGTTTTACAATAGAGAAATATCATTATTGCTATTTCAGTGGAGGGCAAAGTGAGATACATACAAACAACATCTTAAAGGTGACACTTCTTTTCAAAGCCAAAAAAAAATCTGGATTAAAGACTATGTACATTAGATGCAGTGACCCTTATGCAGTGACCCTTATGCAGAATAATTCTTGAATTAGATATAAAATGTTGATGTTTTCAGTTTTAGAAAGCTGAGAATGCCAGCACAACATCAACAGTTATTTGCATAGTATTGTCAGGGACAACTGTTCTGGAGACAATTCAGTGAATCAGAGCTGTTTGATTAATCAAATCAAGTCTCTGTTGTAGCAATGCAAAGAGGTTATGTCTGCTGGCAATCTGATTTGAAATCAAATGTTTATGGATTAATGAACACAAGACAATTGCTTCTAAGCCTCTTTTCAAGCAAAATCTTAGGTCTTTAGAAATGTGGATAAGTAGGGAATGATTAGCCGGGTCTGACAGCACAAGTGAGAATTTATCCCCTCAAACATACACTCTTTACAATTAAAGAAAATCCAAGCAATTAAAAGCAGCCAAAATAAAGCAAAGAACAAAATTTACAAGTTGTGTTTGTTATTTTATTTGCATACGCTAATGTAAGCAAATTATAATCTCAGTTACATTATGTTCTAATTGAATGATAAACTTAACAGAGCTTTGTCATTTCCTATCAACTGAGAATCTATCTCACAACCAGGTTTTTAAAAAGCAGTCCAGGCCTCATGTTCAAATGACCCTTGCACTTTAATGTATTGAAAAAAAAATCATTCTTTCCTTCTTAGCAGTTGTTGTTCATTACATTGTCTTTAAAAACTGTGAATAATGTGCATATTATAAAGGGAAATGTGTAATCCATTTGAGCATAATAGAAAGTTCTTCTGCTTTTATAGGAATTGACTCAGAAATAATTCAGGTACAATTTTGTGTTCCCTTTGGTCTCTTTCTTCTCCAAGAAGGCGCTCTGCTTTGGTGTGATACTAAATTAGTTATATCTAAATGCCACCTTCATTTCTGCCCCCACTGAGCTTAACAGTTAATTTTCCAGGCTAGAATAAAGAAATCCTTGCTTTCATTTTTTATCCCATCCCCATGGTGCAGTAGACCAATAAGAAGCATATAGTTCTTACCGAGTTAAGAGAATAGGAGCCCTTCTCTGAAGAAAATTGGCTGGTTTTCACTCACTACATAAAAAATCATCAATTAAAAATGGAAACAGCTGGAAATGAACATCTTCCCCTTGTCAAAGGTGAATATTAAACTGCTCTTTGATTTGACTTTCCCTTTATTTGTTTTAAGATGTTCGTTGTTATTTTACAATGACTCATTTGGTAAGGTAACAGTGATAGCGTTACCTGCTTGGCCTTCTTTGGTGGAAACTGATTATGCTTAGCATTTGATTTACAATTAGCTGCACTGGCTATTCTGCACAAGATAACTGAATCTTAAATTCATAGGGGGATGAAATTTTTATCAGAACAGTTTAGAGTTAGCAAAAGACTTCCTTTAAAATATGTGGGAATTTTTCAATAGACACTAAGTGCTTTTGGAAAGCCTTCTCTTTGGCCTCATGTTAGACTCATGAAGATCACAGAGCTAAATCCAAAGGGTGTTGTCTGCTGCTTCACCTAAAAAGTCATCTGCTTTGGAGATTAGAACGCTTTGAATGGAAACATTAGCAATGGCAGTAGTCAATCTGAAAAAGAAATGAGCAAGACGTCAGCCACACTGTCTTAAAACTCTAACAAGTAGGTGCTGTTTTGTGCTAAGAGAAATTCTCCATGAACTGGCTATTTTTATCAAGATTCATACTACACATCATCTCAAAGTTGTTATTGTTTTAGTGTGTAATAGTGACTGCACCTCACATTTTTTAACTCCTTTCTTTAGTTCTATTAATATTATTTTTTTTTTAGTTTTAGTTAGCTTAGTTAGGCATAAAAATAAATCAAGCAAGGAGAGTATGATATCACTTATCGTGTCACCTTGTCACTACGCATGTGCATGTGTAGATATGTGTACATACATGCATGTGCATGTATGTACAGGATTATATATACTAATTAGTATACTGAGGATTCTGCCTTAAAGGAAAGACACAATGCTGACCCAAAGTACTTTATTTATGTTGCCTAAAGAACATGCACTGTTACATAGTTAAAGAGTCATAGGAAGGAAGTTCAAAATAATTTTCAACACCTGCAGAAAGACCAACACTGCTTCTCTTGTGACTAACCCAAAATTGCTTTACGTTTTCAAGTTGAGAAGTGAACCAAGTCCTCAGGTAGTGCTGGACAATCTCTTTGTTTATGAAAACAGCTGAGGATCTGATTTAATGACATTTGAAGATTCATTTTACAGAGTAAAATCAGATGCCAGACACTCCAATGAACTGTCTGAAAATCTAGTGCAATTGCAGTCCTAATCAATGTGAAGTTTATCCCAGGCACCTATGGCATACATATATCAGAGGTGAATATATGCTGTAGAGAAGCCTTTAGACAAAAGCACTGACAGAAGGCAGAAGGGATGAACAGTTTGTAACTGCCAGGCTCCTTAGCAGGCAGTTCCCTGACTGTATCCCTGCTGCTTACAGCGTAAATGAGAATTAAAACAGCTAGGGATGTCATTAAGACGTTAGCTAGCATGTGAAGGGAAAGAGTTTCTAACTGGAAGAGATCATGAGGTACCTCCATATGAGTACTTCGTACTCCATTTGGGTTTACTTGCATTTGAGTATTTGTTTATTGATTTGGAATTCTTCAGGATTGGAACCACGTGAATCCTTCCTCCTGTAGAAGCCGAGCAGATATTTTCTTCCAACTTTCAGTCAGGGAAACACAGTGCTGGTTTGGAGAGCGAGCTGTCAGATACCACGATTTCCACGTGTAGAGGTGTAGTACCATTGCATTGTGCTAGAAGATAAACTCCTTGTCAGGAGCATGGCTCATGCGGTCGGTCATGGCATGGTTGGGTACTTCCTATACTGATGAGATGGCCTGTCCTGAACATCTCCGTAAGCAAAATCCATGTCTAAATGTAGTTAGGGCTAATGTAAGGAGCAGTGCAGACTGGTGTGACTTGTTTTGAAGAACACGGTATCTGCTACTACTGGTATAACTTCAAGAGAGCTGCTAGGGTCAGAATTTGACAGCCAAACCTTCTATTCCAGTCAGATTTCTCTATCAGATATTGAATGTATATTGTTGCTCAGCATGCATTAAGATCTCTTAAACTAATTGCATTTGAGCCTTTTATTTTCATATAGGAAATTGCATTTTGCTAAGTGTTTTACTGTAAGAGTATCCTGCTGTTTTAAAGAGTGTTGCAAGGACACATGGCTGGTATTACTGGCGTTTCTGATTATATTTAGTATCATAAATGTTGAAGTTTGACAGTGAAATCTCAAGTATTTTTTAAACTAGTCCTAGAAAATAATTCCAGTTTGCCTTCGGTAAATAATGTGTTAAGTTTGGGTTAGGCTTCAGTAGTCACATCAACCTTAAATATGATTCATCTGCACAGATTTTTTCCACGTTATGCTCTGTGTACATCAAAAGAAACAAAACTAGCTCAGTGATCTGGAGGTAGTATGAACTACACCCATGGGTGAGTAGAATTGATTCATGCTACAGTATGCTGAGAAACCTAAGTGGTTTGTGGTGAGCATGTAGATCATGTAGTCATGTAACCGCACTCATGAATGCTATTCTAGCAGAAAGGATGAGATCTTGCTGGACTTCTGAAGGATGAGAGAGTAGTGAACATACAACACTTCCAAAAGACAAGTCAGCTCTTAGAAATAAAATGTTTCAACATGAGATAACTAAGAAGATGTTTATTTTAAGTTTTCCTCTATGTTGTGGTTGACTGTGAAGCTTTTTATTATTTTTTGTGATTTATTTGCTTATTTATTTCCTTATTTATTTTCTTTCAGAATTAAAATCTAAATATTTATTCAGGTTTTTTGGTTTTTTTGCGTTGTTTTTTTTTAAATTAAAGATTGCGGTTCGATATGTCACTGAATACAGACCCTAGTACAACTAATAAGCAAACGGCTTCACTAGACTATCAGTCACAAATTCTGGCTAGAAGCTTTTAGCTGTTACTTTTTCATGTCAGTAGTATTAAAAACCAGGGTTTACAGGTTTAAATTAATCAAGCTAATGAAAGGTTGGGTTTCTGTTTGCTTGTTTGTTTTCCTGAAAAATAGATGAATTTGACTTCTGTGTATAGGGGAAAAAAAGATACACATACTTGATTTGGGATAGAAACCCTGTGACTTTGTGCATGTGCGTGTGTATGAGAAAAAGAGGAGATCCAGACAGATTACTTCAGCAGTGTAAAAATGCTGAATTAAAAAAAGAAATGCTGGTGTTTAGAGAGGCTCGTATTTAACGAGAGCAGTCCTGGAAAGGAATACTCCCAGTAATCTCTCTTTAACAGACTCAAGTGGAAGAAAGCCAAGTTGTTCAGTTGCTCAATAGGTTCCAATCATGTGGGAGAGTTCCCAGTTGGGAGCTGAAAACTGAAAACCTGACACGCATAAGTGAATGAAGCTACCCTATGTGATGTGTTGATTTAAGGTTTTTTTCCACCTCCTTAAAAATACAGCTGGGCTTCTGCCTTTGTCTGAGTACTGAAGAGGCGATACTTTGTGAGACACAAAATTAGTTTAAAATTGACATTTTGGATGTTGGTGATAATTTATCCTGACGTTATGCCTATTGGTTGTGATTGTGACAAGCAGGCTCGATCCAAGCGGGCACTGTAAGAGCCAAATTTAATAGATGACCATTGTAATTTTCTGCCTTGCGGACAGCAGAGACTTTCCAGCCTTCCTTCACCACAACAATCAGGGATTACTAAGTAACAAGTCCACAGGACTGGGGGAGGATTGAAAGGATTAATGGAGTATGACAAAATTGCACCTGAGGGGGAAAATCTGTAGCAGTTTTTTGTATGGTGATGTGGTAGATCAGGCAAATTGGCAATTGCTACTGATCTTTACACATGCATGTCTTCAAATAAAGTGTGTGAAAGTCAAGCAAATGCAACTATGTGGCTAAGGCTGTCATAAACATTTATGTCATCAGCTGCATAAATCACTTAATACTATCGTTTTAAGTATTTCGATGATCAACTATGTTAAGCATCAGTGGATTGTAGGCACTGTACTAAATCATTTTTTTACTCTGCTATAACCTCTTATCCTGCTAAACTAAATCCTAAAAAAGATTAAAAATGTAGGGTTAGTCCAACCCTTCTCTTCAAAGATAATTAAGGAATACAGTTCCTGTTTGGGAGTAGTGTTCCAGCTTTAGAACTTAAATATATATTTTTATGTATGTATATATAAATTGGTTTGCAGTCTGCATTCATGTGCTGACCTGATGTTAAATAAACACTCTCTATCCCTTTGACAAATACTCATTTCAAAACAACAATAGCAGTCTTAGTCCCAAGTTCTTATGGGATATTAATGTATTTTTAATAAACTGTTTACCACTGTGAAACATCAGAAGTTTGTTAACAGATACTTGGTTTATTTTCACACTGGTTTAAACCAAGAATCCCACTACTGATGGCAGTGGAATTGCATGAAATATAGAAAAAAAGCGAGAAGCAAGAACAGAGCTATTCAGCTTTATTTTTAAAACTCTTAACTTCTCTTTGTAAAGTAACTTATTTATTAAACGTTGTTTATTACCGCTCTAAGAAAAATCTGAGCTTGGGAGTATTGTTTGACTTAAATGGAAGCTTTAGATTTGTGTTGTGTTCATGATAACTGAACTTAGCCTTTAGAGCACGATACTTTTCCTTTCTTCCCCCTTTGATATAACCACTTAGTCATTAGGGAAGATAGCAGCTGGTGCAAACAGTAAAACTTTTATCTCTGTAGATCTACACAAGAGAGGGAGAATTACAGAAGAAAAATCACAAACACGTTTATAAGTTGCTGTCTGAGGTCATCTCTCATGTATTGTGAATTGTTTAAGGAAACACTTCTTCGGCAGCGTTGACTGAAGGTCATGTTGTTATTTAGACTTTTTACTAGTGGAACAGCAAACGATTCATTAATTCCATTAGCCATCCTTTCTGCACACTGGGAAAAGCAAATGTAATTGTCAACTATTCCTACTGTATACTTAAGCTGTCAAGGATCCTGGAAGGCTTCAGTTATCCTCTTTGCAGATATCAAAGGAAGGGGTGGGCTATTTTGTGTTTTTAAAACAGAAATAGGGAAAAAATGTGCCACTTAATGTAAGCGAAAAGATTTCTTTTTAACCTAAAGTGACACTCTAGTACAGAAACACTGGGCAGTTTTCTGACTGGTAAAGCTTCTGGTTATTATTTTTTTAAAAAAAGAAATCTTAAAGTACAGCCTGTCAGCATGCCATTAGTGTTGTCTCTAAGCCTGTCTTGTCTCCAGGAGCCATGCCAGGGACTTCTCATTTCCCTTCCCTTTGGGTTCCCAAGGCAATTCATAGGTCTCACCCTGTGTGCTGCTGCGCGTGGTGGACAGGCGAGTGTAGCATGACTGAAGTTGGTGGGCATGCTGCACTCTTCTTGCATGGATATTAGGCAAAATCGGGGCACATATTTTTATAGCTTTTCACCATGAAGCGTCTGGTGGGTTAGTGGACAGCGAAAGTGAAAAACATCATGTGAATCTGCAAAATTATTTGCAGTTTTCCTGCTGTTAATGGGGATGACAGCTGAAAGCCTAGTCTACTACATTTAGCCTGAAAAAGCAAAAAGAGGTTCCAGGCTTAGCAGCCCAGCCAACAGTGGGTTACATCTGAACTGGGGTGTCTGCCCTCTAAGTGATCACTGCTATTAGGTAGTGTTTTGCAGAGAGTAAGTCAACTTTTTCTCCATAGAAGAGAGTTATATTGAAAAGACAGTGAGGCTCATTTTAACTACAGCGAAGTAGTCCAGGAAAAGTAGGTAAGCAAATCAGAAGAGAGTTATATTGAAGACAGTGAGGCTCATTTTAACTACAGTGAAGTAGTCCAGGAAAAGTAGGTAAGCAAATCCACAAAGGGTAGATTTTTGTCCACCCTACCCATGTTCTTAAAAGAGATAGTGTGCTCTCTTCTGCAGATCTTAATGTCCTAGACATCCTTGGTCACGGTTAAAAATCCACCGTGGGTTACTACACGTTTCAACATATTCCTTTTATTTTGGCAATAATGAATGCAAAGCTGTCTTGTCCTTTGCAATGCTTTGAGCTGTTCAGATAACACGTTGCAGAGCGGTTGGACACAAATCACATAACCCTACTGTGCTCTGTTTGAAAGGAAAGTACAACTTTTAATTCATTATTGGCTAACTAATTTTCTGGTATGCTTTTCCCACAGTTTTGAGTGACAGTCCCACACCCCCAGTACATGGTTTGTTTGATTGTGGTGCAGAGAACTTGACTTTCTCTTTAAAGATGTAATTTTACATCCTGATTGTAAAATAATTAATAATTTGGTGCTCACTCTTCGATCCTGAAAAAGGAAACACGTTTTGCATACTTCTCAAGACATAACTTTGTCACTGTGTGATGATCTTTCTTTAAAACATTAAAAACTGTGGAAAAGGAGGTCCATCTGTTAGGGAAAGTTTCGCTCTGTGTGTGATATAGTGTAATGAGTAATCATAAATGTAAAACACTTGATGTGACGATTTCCTATATAATGATTATGCAGTAGTTAGTAGCCACAGTATACTATATTACTCCTGTTATGTATTTTGGAGGTGGACACTATGGAATCATAGTATGGTTTAACTTGTATAAGTAGTATCAGTCCATCTGAGGGATACTCCTCCCCCAGGTTGAGAATTATGAATTTACAGTGTTGATTTTTTGAATCTTATGAGCCGCTACAGAGTGGAAAATATTTAAGGATAGCAGTGTATGTACTTCTATATGTTACTGAGTGTTAAAATAAGCAATCAAATGATTGTTAAATAAACTAATATATATATAATGCATTATATTTATGCAAAGAATAGCTGCAAAAATCAGGCAAAGTATTTCACTTTTATTGTAGTAATAGGCACCATTGCTATGTATTTATCTATGCATAGTTTAGGAGAGAAGAAGATGCTGTCAATGATTCTGTAATATTTTCTTCATTGTAGTGGCCATTGAGTTGAATAAGAATTCACTGATATGTATAGTAATGAATCTTTAAAACTATCATTTCTAATCAGTGTTGAACAGTGCAAACAAACAGGTGTCCTTTAAAAAATGGACCTTTGTACACTTTGAGTAAAGAACTACCTTTAAAGGATATAAAGTAGTTGTACATTCAAAATGTATTAAATTCCATTTTTCCTTTGCTATATTTTGTAAAACATTTTCATTGTAAACAGTATGCCTCTCACACATGTCAAATCAAAACTCTTTATTTTACAAATATATACCTAATGTAATTGGAAGCTTATTGCACTCTCATGCAATGTATATATTGTGACTTCAAAAAGTCTGTACTGAACTTTGCTTAAACTACTAGTATGTGGATTTCTTTCAAATTTATTTTTAATTAATGATATTAAGGATAAGATCCTTTCTAAATGTACTTTAAAGTTCACAATAAAGTTTCAGAAGTTGTTTTGTACAATGTTGAGGCTTTGTGTTGAATTTCTTGTTGGAATCTTTTTAAACTGGCACCTCGACTAAGTTCCACATTCCTCGAGTATGTGTAAATCTATGTTTAACATTATCATGATTTAAATCAGATGTGCCATATCACAAAATACAGTAACTCCATTTACTTAAGAGCTGTCTGTTAAATTAGGGATTGCTGCTGCATTGAACACAGCATCTCCTGGCACTTTCGTAGTTTTTGGTGGAGATTCAATCTGGGTACAAGAAACTCTCTGTATTGGAATTGAAGGGTGAGATAAAAAGTATACTGTATTTTGTGTATCAGCTTAATCCACAAGACAATATGGAAAGAGTTGGATTAAATATTGGGGTGAACAGACAAAAATGTGTTTATTTTAGAATATCTAAAAATCTTGTCTATAGCTCCCAATAGAAACAAAAAATAAATATGACAATATTGGAGAAAGATGCAGTGGTACAGTATGGAGTCAAATCTATTGCAAGCTTCTATTTTTATTCTCTGTCTTTTTTAAACACTATTTGATTATTAGATGATTCAGTAGTTATTGAGGGAAAAATATTGGTGGCCTCAATGGGGAATTTGCCCGAGTAAAGAGGTAATTAAGCTCTGTAGAGCTTGGAATAATGATTATTTTTTATTTCTGTCCTTCCCCATCTGGAAAAAAAGTGACAATTGTTTTGCTCAGAAACAGAAGTTTCTATTTAGCTATATGTTTAGTAGTGACTGTAAAGGTTAAGGAAGATGATGGTATAATTTTTCTTTTGATGATAAAATAGTTTATGGCCCATGAAATTTACTACTATTTAGCTGTTTACTTAACCAAGAGAGGATTAAGCTTTTAATTTTATGGGTGAAATTTTAAAAAACATTTAGTATTGTCCCATTGATGTCACTATGAAAATTGCTAGTGCTACAGTTTTAGGTCAATGGTGTACATGTTTGACAACCGCATATGACATACTGTATTATCATGAGATTGTAATTTTTGAAGATGCTTTCACTGGCACTGTAGATCTGCATATTTGAAAAAAAATATAGCTTGATAGTTCCCATTCAGAAATCCCAATATAGCTCCTTAACTATAGTTAGCTAGATTTTTTGCACATTAAAAATGTAATTCTGATGTCAAGTAAATCTGATTTGAGAATGAGGTAGAAATATATATGTCTTTCAAAATCCCCTATTTAGCTAGTCTGTTTAAATAGGTAAAACTCTTCCAGAAATTATTTCCCACTGCAAAGCTTCAACTAAGGTCCAAGGCAAAATTAGACCTAATTATCTTAATGGCAGATAATACTCAGCTGAATACTTTACTTACGAAGTGCCTTAAATTTAATGGTGCTATTCCTACAGAAAATCAGATCTTTCTTTTCGAGTGACTCCTTCATAAAAGACTGAAGAACAGTTCGGAATTGTCTTCGAAAAAGAATCTGAAATTCAGGCTCTAAAGAGAGCCCTCAGATCTCTAAAGAGATAGATAATTTCACCATACTCAGCTATTTTTTTCAGTCTTTAATAACATTTATCTCATTAAAGATCTGCTATAGGGCTAACTCAACACTCAAGTACAGTGAAGTACTGATACTCCAAATGAGAGAACCATTTTCACTTTTAATTCTGGAAATGGGAGTGGATGTTCAAGTATTCTCATGTGAGGAAACACTGATGACCAAAAAGAGGTAGGATCATGGGTTTTTTTGCAAATATAGAAAGAAACCAGAAAAAATACACCAACATTAATGCACAATAGAATAAACAAAACACTCGTTGTCATCAGGAATGAATGTCGGCACACTGTCTGTTGCCTGGCTTGATGCTAGTCATCGCCTGCTCGCCTTTGAGGTATTTGAGGTCCATAATTGTCTCTTGATGTATGACTTTGTGTCTTTTTGCTAAGGTTCCCATCTTCGCCTTCTCCATTATGAATTATGAATCTTTTAATTGCAATACTACTGCCAAAGTTAAGTGATTAGCCTAATTTAGAACCTGATTGTGTAACCCAGGCTCATGTTAGCTGGCAGCCAAGTCTGCGAGCGGCCCTGTTAGTTTCAATATTGCACAGTGCACTTGTAAGTGCTCGCTGGCGTGCCAGGGGTTGTGTCATCCACTGCTGAATAGGTGGATTCCCCTGTGCAGAATCTGACTTCAGCCAAGGTTGAGGGCTCCTGCATTCATTTTTACATAATTTGATCTCAAGTGACAGAAAAATGATCCCTGGTGTCCATAAGCAGAAGTCCCATCCTGAGTTTCATTTTATAAATTTTTATAATACTGTAATATCTTGGTAAAAGGGTGGTAATAAAAATGTGTAGTTGAAATAGGGTATGGTAACTTCCTCAAGTCGGACAGACTTCTTGTATCAGGATTTTTTTTGAGCTCTACACAATCAGACAGATGAGCTCCAGTTTCTATGCCAGTTACTCATACTAAATACCATACACCAACATAAATCTTAGTTCAATGAGAACCAGATTCTAGTCCCTCCTCCCAGAAAAAAAGAGATAGATGGGAGCTAGCTTTAGCAGGAGGTGGGGTAGGATGAACTAAAATCTCTTCACTTATGGCCATCATCAAAGGAAAAAAGAAAAACATATTTTATTATGAACCCAGGGGAATAATTCAATTTAGTTTTTGAACATAGATAAACTCAAAAACAATACCCTACATGAAAAGCTCTAAATTGAATCTTATTTTGATCTTCCAGACATTACATTTTTTTGGGTTGTTGCAGGTTTTTGTGTATCAAGTGATACGATCAGTCTGTGAAGATGGATTAGCAATCCATTAGATCTTAAAAGGCATTTAACAGTCAGACTCAGTTATTTCTATACGCATGTATTTATTTCAACTGCATTTTCTTAATAGAAGAAATTATTTTGCTGATGAAGTTTCAGGAAGTGCTCCAGCACCTTTACTTTGCAGCTTTCTTGAAGAAAGAAGAAATTTTCCAAGAGCCAGTATCTAAGTACCTGATAAGACCCTGCTTCATAAGAAAGGGAAAAAAATGTTTTTATCTTTGAAAAAGGCTTCCTTCCCCTAGGTTTTTGATGAGGAGCAGATTTGCTGGAGGAACTTGTTCAATTTCATTCTTGCATATTCACTTTGCATTTAATACAAAATGTTTTCTTGCTTGCAACATGAAGCAAGGATCTTGTCACCGCACTGCAAAGGGAAAATACATAGTGGGCTTGGCATTCCCTGACAATATGCTTTCATTAAAACTTTAAAATGTAAATGTATGGAGAAACGCCTGTCTTACCCCATCACGGAGCTTCACAGCTATTGCATTCATTGCCACTAGTATGTGGCAGAGTTGTTCTTTCTTCTTTTTATAGCTTGTTTCCCTTGTAAATGAAACTATATACAGCGAGTTACATTTGGGAGTGAATGTTTTGCCAACCTTAGTTAATTAATAGGAGTCTTAGCTCCAGCTCTGTTAGATCATTAGCAGTTTAAATTAGTAACTAATGGTTAACAGATTTCTAACACTGCAATTTTTCTCCCCCCAAGTTCTTTCTCAAACTTCTTTCCAGCACTATTTTCAGGTCACTACTCAATGTCTTATCAAAAGGAGTGGGTGGATTAGAATTCAGATACATGAGAAATGTGAAATGGAAATTGCTCAGTACTGCTTTGACTATGGCCAGAAATATGTTAATTAAAAACAGTGGAGAACATAATCCTTTTCTGAATCCAAATGGCTATGACAGTTCCTACAGTTGGGAGACATGGGGCATGCTTTAACCAGTTACAAAGCTATTTAGATGGATCAGAAAATACAGTGTAGAAAGATTATACCAGTGAATCCAATTCCAGAAGTGTCACATCATCCCTCCTTTTGCTTTTAGTTTCTTATTTTAATGTTAAATACTTGAAACACAATCTATCATTTGGAACATATGTTAATTACAAAATAACGTAAGAGATCATTTTGCTGTCAGAAGCATTACTTTTTCGGTCTGATAGTACACAGCAATATGCCTGACAATAGCATTATCAGTGGCTTGGAAAGCTTTTTTTTGCTTCAGCTTCTTCAAACTAGCCTTTCCAAAGGCTTGTTCAGAGCTCACGGCGACAAGTCTCGTCTCATGCCAGAAAAGGACACGTTCCTTAGTAAGAGAGGGTGATCACAGAGGCCAGTTGCAGAACCTATCCTAGGGTATTTTTCCTTCGTTAACAGGGATGTCACTTCTCTGTGCTTTGTAGCAGATAGCGGTGGAAGGAGCTGGACTTGTGCGTGCTTCAAGACAGGTCTAGGAGACACCATTTTACAACCAGTACACTTGGTATTTCTCTCCATCTCTACTTTTAAACCATGGTTGTAAACCAATTCTTTTTGCAATTGACATGCTTCTTTTTACAGAAGTCTCTGATAGGTGTTTTACGGCTGTGTGGTACCATACCTTCATACCACAGGGGTACAGAAAGAAAGCTGCCACGGTGTTAAGTCTCCATGCACCTTTGTGGTTTTATGCTTTATTTTAAAAGGTCTCTTGACAAGACTTTTTTGTGGGTATGTTTTGTTGCACAATTTTTTCTCTTTTCTTACGCTGGCCTAGTCTTTCCAGACTTGCAAAATTATTGATTTTTTTTTCTTTCTAATTTCTTAGTTAGTCTCTTTTGCTGATATAGCTCTATTTCAGGATGACACAGTATTATCTTGTTGGAAGCAAATGTTGACATCATCTAGAGTTATACCTTTAAAAATGGAAATAGTATACTACTGTTCTGATCCAAATCACTATACAAATACCATTGTAAACAGCTTTGCTATAGACCATGACAAGAAATTAGGTAGTCTGTCTTTGTAAGTGTGACAAAAATGTCAAGCTACAGTAAAAATAAATGGAAAATCAGCATTATTTAAGAGAAAAAAATAGTTCACTCTCATATCCAAAAATAGCTTGCTGCCAAAAGCAAATACTTCACTTAAGTAAAGGCTTCAAGCCTTCTTTAAACAGACCTATTTTAAGGATTCTAAGAAAAAAAAA